CCCGGTGCCTAGAATATAGTAAATAAGGTGGCAGGCTTGGTCCCTGGTGCCAAGCTTCCAGTCTGGTGGGGAGAGACTGACAGGTACTCTGGAAAGGTCAGGAAAGGTTTCCTTCAGGAAGCAATGAGTAATGGAGCTCCATGCAGTGCCTGAGTTCGCCCTATAGAAGGAGAGTGGTGATGGAGAACGTTTTCCAGCGAGAACAGCATGTGCAAACGCTCAGAGGTGACTTAGTTTGAATGAAGGTAAATCCGGCTGGAGTTTAGAGCACGGGGTGAGAGTGGAGCAGGTTGGGGAAGGATGGGATGGGCCATGGAGTATCAAGGGAGAAAGGGGTGGGGCCTGGCACCAGCTTATGAAGGGCCTTGTAAGCCCCACCAAGGTTTCTGAGGCCCCGGGAGCCCGTGGTGGGTTTTCAGATCAGCTTTGCATCAGCTCCCTCCAGCCAGTGCGGAGAATCGATTGGGCAGGGCTGAGGCTGGAAGCTCTAGCTCCTTGGGAGGCTGTCCCAGTAATCCAAAGAGGACGGTGGCCACTAGGGTGGCAGTTGGGGTGGCTAGAGTAGCTGGATTCTAGAGATATTTAGGAAGAAGAATCAGTAGGACTTGAAAATAAATTGAGTTTGTAGGAGACGAGGGAGAGGGAAGTAAAAAAATAATAGACACTTCAGCAGAACAAAGGGCCGGGGTCAGGATAGTGCCTGCCCCTCTCCTCTAACACTCCCCTTGAATCAGGGACTGGGAACTGGGGAGGCTTTTTTGTTGGAATGGGGTTGGTGCTGGAATACTCAGTGTGCTGTTTTCATCATATACAAGAAGTGGGGCTTTCTAACTCTCTATCCCTCTCCCTTCCTCTCTGTAAAAAATCAATAAAATATATTTAAAAAAAAAAGAAGCGGGGCTCTCCCTTTCACCTAGTCAGAGAGCCAGAGTCAGTAATAGGAGGCCTCTAAGAACATGGAAACTGCTTTCTTCTCACCCAGAAACTGCTTCTCTCCCATCCCTTTCTCAGTCTGGAGGCTCAGAGGCCAGCCTCAGTCAGTTGTAGTATTGGGGTGGCCTTCTCTGACCCCATCTTGGAGTTTAGGAGCTAGGTGAAACGTGCTTTCTCTTAATAGTGAATCTTGTTTTTTTATCCTCACCTGAGGATATGTTTTTGCTGATTTTTGAGAGAGAGAGAGAGAGAGAGAGACATTGATTGACTCCTATATGTGCCCTGACCAGGAATGAAACGCACAACCTTTTGGTATATGGAATGATGCTCCAACCAACTGAGCCACCTGGCCAGAGCTCAATAGTGAATCATATCCAGAAGTTATATAAACCCTCAGTGATCCTGTATGTACTTTCATGGCCCAATTAATCACACATAATGTATAAATTAGCATTTCCTTTTTTTCTCCGCCTATATGTGCCCTGACCAGGAATGAAACGCACAACCTTTTGGTATATGGAATGATGCTTCAACCAACTGAGCCACCTAGCCAGAGCTCAATAGTGAATCATATCCAGAAGTTATATAAACCCTCAGTGATCCTGTATGTACTTTCATGGCCCAATTAATCACACATAATGTATAAATTAGCATTTCCTTTTTTTCTCCTCAAGATACCTCTTTCAAGTTAAGTGACCTCACAATTAGAGCATCATTGAATGTCAGCACTGAAGGGAACTTAGAAATAACTTTAGCATGAACCCATTTTACAGATGAGAAAACTGAGTGACTTCCCAAAGTTACATGAATAGGGACTGAGCTGGGGCTGGAACCAGTCTCCTGGCGCTTGGAACAGCCAAACTGCCCAGGACTTGGTACACACATACTCTCCGCACTCCCTCCCCCTCACATAAGAAGTTATCAACTTTGGGCTTGGCCCCCCTCAGTTGGTGTGTCTGGACTCTGGAATCCACCTTTCTCCTCCCATCCCCTCTCCCCAGTGCCTCCTGTTCAGCCTCCACTGTTTCTGAGGTATAGCAACCAGACTTGACACAGAATTCCAGATGCAGAACAGATGTCATTGCCAGGCTTGCCTGGGGGCTCCCAGCTCCCTGGGGTGGGAGAGAGAGGAGTAAGAGCAGTTCTGGTGGGGGAGGCCCCAGCCTGGTCAGAGGGGAGTGATTGGAGCTGCAGGGGAAGAAAAACCAGAGAGAGGATGTTCTAGGCCTGACATGCAGAGAAATGGAATCCTCATCTTCCGGGCTAGCTGGGCTGCCAGCTAATACTGTCTTGCTGCTGA